TAGCTAAGGGTGTATTTGTCATTTAACTTTATATCTTAAGAGTGGGTCCAATTTTATGGACTTACAATATTAGCCCTATACTAAGGGTATTTTTGTTTAGAATAGTTAAGGGTGTATTTGTCATTTGACCTTATATCTTAAGAGTGGGTCCAATTTTATGAACTTACAATATTAGCCCTATATTAAGGGTATTTTTGTTTAGAATAGCTAATGGTGTATTTGTCATTTGACCTTATATCTTAAGAATGAGTCCAATTTTATGAACTTACAATATTAGCCCTATACTAAGGATATATTTGTCATTTTTTTGTAAAAATATTGAATAACTCAATTCTCAGCTCATGTGATTTGCCCCTGAATTTGGCTCAGCTTTATAATAGAAGAATAGAATAGATAGATAGATATCAAAGCATAGATATGAAAGCATACTCCTAAAGAGAAGAAACAAGTAATACACCAATACTGCATATGAAAGCATACTCCCGATTCAGTCTGACCCAAGTTCAGAATATTCGGTAGACAAATGTTAGAGACACAAACCACGCCATCAGCCCATCATCAAATCCCAAGTCGTCACAGTACCTAAAACCAATGCTTGATAATTTTGTACAGTAAAAGAGAACAATATCAACCCAAAGAGCTTGTAAATTTATGCAAAACTAGAATCTTACTTTCCAAGCAATAGCTTGAAATGCTCATAAATCTTTACTTGAAAAGCAAAAGAACCCATCTATGGAAAGAAGATGAGGAGAAACTCCAAAGATTGAGATGGAGAAATTTCCCACTATCAAGAATTGGGTCCACATAAGGGAAAAAGAGAAATCATTCCTCACCATCCACAAGTAATAGAATCTTTATAGATCTTACCTTGGATGAGGCTTGACATACTTTTTCTTTCATTCATGTATGTAACTTCAAAAGTAAGGAAAGCTAAAGGTTATAAGGAATCTAAAGGACAACAAGATGTGGTGTGTTACCCACAGGAAATATTAGGTGGACCCATTATAGCCGCAACAATGAAAAACATCTTCCTTCATCATCAAGATTCGGGACAGTGAAATTTTATCTGAAAGGGAATTGAGAGATATTTTTTCTCTGTTTCTATGATGAATTCAAGACTGCAAAGTCAATGATCTATTTTATCGACTTGTTCTACATTATAAAATAGATATGATCTCATATCAGATCATCTTCCGAAGCATTTTATATTATAGTGAGAATGGGTGTAGATTTTATAAGGTATGGGTCAAGTTTATTGGTATTCAGCATATTTGCGAAACATCTGTTGCAGTTTGGAGTGCTTCTCTCCATTAGGAACCCTTCCGACTTGTAATAAAACTGCAGACTGTTTAATCTGGTTACTACTATCAAACGAGATAATGTAATCAGTTTACTGACAGTTATCAGTAATAAATTGGGGTTATTTTGTTTCATTGCAATCATGAATTTGGAATGTGTATTAGTGTCTAGAGAACTCTCTCTATAGATATAATATGTTTGATATTTTTGACTTCGAGAAGTTTAAAATGTTGACGCATCACTCATGCATCTTTCGTCTTTTTTTTTTTTATCTTTGGTCGAAAACATTGATTTTTGCATAAGAATTCTCAGAGTCTGTGTTTAAAACTCGCGCGATATGCTCTATATCTACAAAATGTACAAGTGTGTTTTATTTTAGTTGTGTTCATATACAGTGACCAACAGTGAGCTTAGAACTGCGATAATGAGTCTAAATACAAACTGTACCATATCAAGTTTATGGAAGAATTGAGCAATTTTACTGCATTTTAATCTACTCTGATAAGGTGGGCAACATGCCATCAATACATCAAGTTGTGCTCTACTATTGTGGAATGTATCTCTATAGTCTATATTTAACCCCCTCTGATCCTCTCTGGTGTAGATGATGCATCCTGTGTATACTTTTTCAATGTCTTCTGTACTACATAATGAAGTCGCCTTTGATTTCTTCTTATCCACAATTCCAGGAAAAACGTCCTATCATCCTCCTCAGATTTGAAATATTAGGCCTTTCTAGATTGCGATTTGCGACCCCCCCTATTTATAATTGTCTTAATTACTACAAAGTATAGTGATGATTAAGACCTTTCATAGTCATGTTTAGTCTTCTAATATGAATTACAAGACATTGAAGACTAGTAACCAAATTGTTGAACATCTCAGGGAACAAAAATAAATTGATAAGACATGTTAGTTAAGGCTTGTATTTTGTTCAAGTAGTTGATAATTTGATATAAACAATGACAGCCTTATAATGTCCCAATCGAAACACAAATTGCAGAGAAATAAAACCAAGGAGCAGTCCTGGCAAGTTGTCCATAGAAGTCATAATCAAGGGGTGTCATTCTCTGTTGCAACTGGCCCTCAAGGTTTAAGCTCATCCAGCAGAAAGACAGTGTTGGGTCACCGAAGGGTTAGCTTACCCACCTTTCACTTCACTCCTTGGCTGCATGCCCCACCAAATTCATAATATTTCTACCCATCTCTGCAGCCTCCTTCTCTTTCGTTTTCCTTCTTTTGGTACCACTGGTCCTGTTTCCTTGCCTTTTTACACACATCCACACAACTACACCAGATTAACAAGATGATGGTCTAATGTGGGGAGTCGAATCCTTCATTGATTTCACAATAATGAATATAATTTTTTGTGCAGAAAGTGGTCTCAAACTAACCAAGAAGTGGCGAATTCCCTCTGAAAATATAGTTTTTTAGTTAAGTTTGGACCATACAACCTAAAAACCAATTGGCTCAGCAAGTATTTGAATGAGACTTCAACTTCAGGATGATTATTTCAGATCAAATATACACGACTTGCTCAACGCTAATAATGAAAGTCAGCTACTTGATTTGATGATACCAAAAAAAAATATCTAATTCAGCACTTTATAGTTAGTTTTTGGTGTCTGCATTTTTTAAAAAAAAGATAATGTTTGTATATTGGAGAAACTCTGGTTTAGAATATCAACTTACCCTTTTCCAATTCCCATCTGCTTTTGCTCTCTAGAGGACAGTTAAATCTATATGATCATGGTCATAATGAACACCATTTCTGGTGTAAATGGTTATATATGATCAGTAAATGGTTACAGTATAAGATTCCAACATAGAATTCCCAAGGAAAGAAACAAAACGTTACAAGGGATGTTGACATATTGCCAAACCCTGTAAATCCATTGTG